GGTCCAGGCCCACCCAGGGACTAGCGAGGTGGGATGCAGCCAGCCACAGAGGTGCCCTAGCCTGGTACACCATGAGCATGATGCTGCTTGCTTAGATAGAAAGCCCGATGACACCAGCTCCCTGCCAGGACTCATGCAGTGGGGTCTGTCCCCCACTCCATGCCAGGCTTAGGGACAAGATGAGAGGAGAGCGTGAGATTTAGGACAGCTGGACCATGCCAACCCCCACCCTCTCCCCCACTGGGTCCAAGGTGGTGGCTCCCAGCAGAGGCCTGGGCCAAGGCACAGCTCACCTTCCTTGTAGCGGTACTTCTGGTCAGCAGCCTTGCCCTTCTCTGGGGCCAGTTTGTCCTCCTTCTCCTCCCACGTCTCCTCCGACTCTTCCTGTGGATGAGTGGGGGCTGCGTCCTCTGCTTCGAGGGCAGGGGTGGACGTGGGGGGCTTGTTTTCCGCCTCCGAGGCACTGTCGCTGATCTGAGACTGCGTGGGGAGGGACAGGGACAGCGGTCACCCCTCCAGCCTCGTCCTGCCCTCCTCCACTTCACACTCAGGCATCCACCTCCCCTCAGATCCCCATTACCATCACAGAGCATCAGTGGCCCAGACACGATGGCACAAAGCAGAGATCATCACAGGAGATGGCAGACAGGGTGACCCCCGGGCACCTCTGGGACACTCACCTCTTTAAAGGCATCCAGCAAATCGCCTACTGCCTCCTTCTTGTTCAGCTCCTTCATCCTTCGCTTCTTCTTTGGCACCGACACGGCGACTGGGAAGAGAGGCAGGGGGTTGAGGGACAGGAACACTCCCTGTCCCCCATGACACCAGCTCTGGGGTCACCAGCGAGGACCCAGTAACACCAGGTGGGCTTCAGGATGGGGCTGCAGGGAGCCACGGGGACCTGGTTCTGCCACCCCGGCACTGCCCCCGTCCCCAAACACACCATGTACCCACCTGGCTGCCTGCAGCCCTGTGGATCCTATACGCAATCCACCAAGGCACCTTGCTCCCTAAGCGTGCATCCCAAAACGCACTCCGTACACCTCACACCTCTCCCTGTCCAGCCACTGCACCCCAATTTACACTGTGCCTCTCTCCAAAGCACCCATCCACAGCTCTTCCCTGGCACAGTGCTCCCCATCCCCCTCAGGGGATCCCTGCAGACACCCACACCCCTGTGCAGGGCGGCCCTCATGGGAACACCCCTGTATGCATCTGCCCCTATATGTGCTCCCCTCCCTGGAACCTCTATAATCCACCCCATACAGAGGTGCCTCCCAGAAACACATCGGCCCCTAGGTCATCCTCCTGGGGACAGCCCTCAGATACAACCCCAATACACCCATCCTGCACCCCCGCATAAGGCGCCACATAAAACACACTTCCTTCATGGCATCCATCCCCTAGACACTCCACACATAGATTCCTCTATACCCACACACTACTCCTGCACGTGGATGCACTCCCCAGGCACCTACCCCCCCATCTCACCACCTGCAGACAGCTTGTCCCCCTCCCAGCACCTCATACCCACCCATCCTGGGTCACCTCACCTTGCACCCCTCTCCCAAAACTCTCCTGTACCCCAATATGCAGCACCCCACCCAGGTGACCCCCCCTACATCACCCAACACCCACCCTGGGACACCCTGAACACTCCAGCCCAGCACCCCCAACCTTGTGCAGTCGCCTCCGAGGTCTGTGAAGGGGCAGGGGCCGGGCTCGAGCTTCGTTCCTGGGCCTCGCTGGGGCCTTCACTCTCCTCCTCCTCCTCCTCCTCTGCTGGGGGAGAGGCAGGAGCGCTGGGCTGGGCCAGCTCCTCGGGCTCCGAGATGGGGCTGACATCCGACTCGGGCTGCTCCTCGCTTGGCTCCGCTTTGCCAGTGCCCTCCACCCCATTGGGCAGGGGCAGCTCTTCAGGCTGAGCAATGGGGGAGTCCAGGGTGGCCACAGGCACCAGCACGGGCACCGGCTGGCACACAGGCACCTCAGGGACAGGCTCGGGCAC